GACCGGGCTGGGGACGGGGGGGAACCGGCAGCGTCCGGGCACGATCGCGGCCCCTCAAGCCGGCGCCGCCTCGCAGGTGCCAGCGACATCGAGCGGTTCCTGGCCGCCTTCTGCGAGCAGAGAGCTGCCGTGGTGGAGGCGGCGCGGAAGCTGCTGTCGGACGAGCGGGCCCCCAGGAGACAGAAGCTGCTGGCGGATCTCATCCACAACCTGAGCGGGAACATCCCGGCCGAGGGCCGGCGGGAGGACGAGAAATGGTTCGAAGGTACGTCCGGGCTGGGCTGTCACCCAGCGGGAGCTGCTGCGGGGCACCGGGCATCGCTCTGTGACAAAGAGTCACTGCTGCCCATCCCACTGTTCTGAAAGAAAAGCAGTTTATTGGGAGACCTTCTGGCTGCTGTGATTTGGTACCTGCTCAGGGGATTACCTATCCCTGACACTAGTGTGTGCTTTTCTTTAAAATATATCCATATATATATATATATGCATATATAAAAATATATGCATAATTACTATCAGAAAATGGTAAAAAAAGCCAGTGCTCCCTACTGCTCTACCCAAGATCGCTCTGGAATACATTTTTCCCATTAACATAGGTCTGCATTTACAACCCTTTAACAATTTCCTAATATCCTATTGATAATTTGCATGTTTCTTTATACTTTTTTTGCAAGTTCCCCCTTCCATTCCCAAATCATTGTTGCAGTTCTTCCTCAACAATCCAGCCTTCTTTTCACAGTCTCCTAGTTTTCTGTGTACGCACATTAAGGAGAAACATTTAACAATGGTATCAGCTACTGCTCTCACAGCAGATGCTCTGCATGGTCCTTTTAACTGCCAAGAACAGGGTAGTCTTGAACAAATGGGAAAGGAAAATAAAAATCTGTGCATGCTGAGTTTCTGAAAAGACGGGATAAACACCCAGCTAGGCAGAAGCACAGCACTAAAAGCATTAAGTTACAACAATCTAACTCCCTTTAGGTCTAGAGTCTCGTTTTAAGAACAAATCAAGCTACATGCGATACAGTTGCGAAAGCAGAATACGAAGCTACATGAAAGAGGTAAAAGTTTCTGTTGAAGTAACTTATTTCCAAGCTGCTAGTAAATGTAATTCTGTGACTACATATATAAAAAACACAGTACAACCTACTGATTGTAGAGAAGAGCCTCAGGCTGCTACAGGCACCAAAAAATGATCGTTTTGTTTTTTTTTTTTCCTGCTCCCCTAGGTTAGTAGTTTCATTTCAAGCGTTCATCCTACGGCAAGAGATGCATATAAAGGGATAATTGACTTGATGTCAGATAAACTGAAATCTGTGAAGTATAACGGATGTTACTTTGACAGAAGAGAGGAGGAGGCAGTCCGCCTGTGCACTGCGGAGGGATGGTTCTCTTGTCAGGTAAGTTCAGCCCGTTGTAAAGCAGAGGGTCTTGGTTCCAACAAGCAGCGTCACGAATTGAAGTGACATTACAGGAGGGAAACAGTCCCTTGGATGCTTGTGTAGTGCAGGATCAAGTTTGGCAGGGTGATGTTGTCACAGTGGGTGGGATCTAGCTTTGGTCAGTTATAGCAAGCGGAAGGACCGCGCTGGGGTGACGAGCGGTACAAGCCTTTCAACATAACCATCTTGTTTCACAGGGACCTTTCGACAGAGCTGACTGCCCATGTAAGCATTCCATCAACCCCTACAGTAACAGGGAGAGCAGAATCCTCTTCAGTACCTGGAATCTCGATCACATGTATGTATAAAGTATTAATCCAAACCTACCTGTTTCATGCCCTTCATCTTAGGCAGGAAAGGTGTAGCCATCGAGTTTTTAACCCCTCTCACTGAGCAGTTCGCTCCGCTGTGAACAGTGCATTGTGATAAAAGATGCTTGGATGCTGCAGCTGTTTCTGATAACATAAAATCCTGAAGACAGATGATAATGCCATCTCTTATTAGCTGCTTTGCTTCTGTTCAGATTTTCTTTGTATGGAAACATACACCTCCTCACCATGTTGTCCTTTGTGAAGACTCCTCTCTGGCAAAAACCCTCTGACCTGTTTACAGGCATTGTGCACTTGTGAAGCAAACAGGATTTGCTAAACTGATTTCCTCAGGGGAAAAAAAATAATCATAAACCTAGCTACAGTGAAAGAATTCAAATTCTGCCTGGCTCTAAAAGGAAGACAGAGACTTGATTGTTATGAAAAAAACTTGATGGCAATATTGTTTTCTCTTTTGTGTACTAAAGAATAGAGAAGAAACGTGCTGTTGTCCCAGAATTGGCAGAAGCTGTCAAAACACGAGGTGGAAGAGAAGTGAACTGGGAATACTTCTATCAGCTGCTGTTTACCGTGGATAATTTAAAACTTGTACATATCGCTTGCCATAAGAAAACCAATCATAATCTCAGCTGTGACAAAACCAAAATTTACAAAAAAAGGAAGCAAAACCACAAGATTTCATAGTGCTATCTCTGGAAGGGACTTCTGCTTTTTTCAGAATTGTGTTGCGTGGTATCATTTTTAAATAGCTCTAGTTTCTTAAACAAAAACTTACTTGGGAGTCCCTGGCAAAAAAAGAGACTTGCTAAGTAATTCAACTGCAGTCTCACAACATACATTCATATTGTGCCTAACTCTACTCTCCCGCCTTCTCGCTTCCTACAAGCCTTCTTTAGATGACACTGTGTTCAGTGCGATAAAATACAGCTGTGAGTCAGAGTTTTGAGGCCAGAGGCTGACACCGATTACTCCCTACCATCTCTTTCTTGCTGCAACAAACGTAGGCTCAAAGCTCACAGTACCCAGAAATGAAATCTGAACAAAACATTTTTTTAAAAAACTAATCTGAGGGGACTTCTCTGAACATTAAGCCACACAAGGAATATTTTAGGGTAATTACTTGGCTCTGTGCCTTTCCCAGGTAGACAACCACTGTATTTCAGGAATGCCAAAGGGTGATTCAGTGACAGAGCTGCTGGCTCTTCTCTACTCAAATGCCTGTGCTCACCCACAACCACTCGCTGCTGCTTTAGACGTGCTTCTCCTGTAAAGAAAAGCAAGGCTGTGGCATTTTTTTGCTTTTACCATCTTTGTTCTTTGTCATCTTTCCCATTGATTTCCTCTCCTTCCAAACAGTTTCTGCCTCTTTAGCTTGAGCTTGCTTCAGGCAATACAAGCAATGCTACTTATAATCGTGTTTACCTGTTGATTTAGAGAATATTGCTTTTTTTTTAAAACACTTCCTACCTCAGGTAACAAAATACAAAGATCAATTTTTACTTGAATTTTTTTAAAATATCAGCTGATAGCAGCTGAACTTTTAGGGATCGACTGTGTAAATTATATTAATTTTTTTTAAATAAAAAAATTACCACCATCTTTCTATGTGTGTACATGGAGGCAGAGGTGCACGAGAGGTTAATCAGGTGTAATACAGCAAGGCCAATACAGACTAGAAAGACTTGAGTGCAGGGAAACGTGCTTATGAATGAGCACTAATTACTTACTGCTGTGTAAATAACATCACTCTGGGGAAGAGTTCTGTTTTCCCCTGTGTTGCTGCTCCTCTTACCTGGACAAATCCAGCTGGTCTACGCAGAATTGTATGAAGATCGTATTGCTGTGTGAGCCATAACTTACTAGGTCTTGGAAATGCAGGAGCTTTGCTACAGAGAGTATTGTTTTATTTTAAACAACAAATTAAATCCCCTTCTCAAACATTTCAACGTGAAAAGTAAGTAGGTGCATTTTAAATACAGGATTTTTAATGCCAAAGCATTGAATTGGTCCTTCCAGATTGTCTCACCGAACATACATCATTGGTAACTGAGACAGAAATTCACACTATACTGTTTTGACATTGGGGAAGGCATCACAGCTAAGATTCTGATGACAAACACAATGTCATCTGTATGGCACACTTCCTGCAAACTGAAAACCACCGTTTTGCACAGTGCTGGAAGTAAAATCAACGTCTATGTGTGAAAACATATTTGCTAGAAAAAGACAGTAGCAAATATGGCATTTAAGGAAAGCTGGGAGAGCTACTTCAAGGAGTTGTGGTGAAAACCATGAATATGCTATTAAAAAATTAGGTTTTTCTGTCTTGCAGAATTAGAGTGAAAAGGAGCCAAGAAATATCATTGACAGACACAATGCATCAGCTGGAGTGGAAATGTGAATAAATTAACATGTCATGCATATACAATTTGTTTGGCTTACAACTTTTGAATGTTTAACAGGCTATAGCTGTAAAAATTAATATTTATTTAAACCATCTGCTGAAAACATTTTATCTATATTTTTAGAAATGTAGAAGAAATTATTTATAACAATAAAGATCTGGAAGCTTATTGCATAACCACACTTTCAAAGGAGTATTATCATAAACATCGAGTGAGTTAACAGTTCCTGAAATCATCTGAGGTTGCTCATTATTTTCTAAAAATGCATGCCAGAATAGCAAATCTGGTGGGCTGACCTGTATCCTTAGCAATCGATACTCGTTCTGTTTACCGATCGAGCCCGACACGGAGAGATCCTTTTTCACCACCGATGCTTTTATTTACAAAATTCCTATCCATAACCCATGGAAGACAACTGAAAATACTGCACGAGCTGCATTACACAACTACTACAAAAGGCAACGCTTACGGCTGGCCTGGTGGAAGAGGGAAGCAGTCAGCTTCACGTGGTGGTTGTTCAGAGAACTGGCATGCAATAAAAATGTATTTAACTTCCAGAGATTTACACCACTGAACGCACATTGACATCCGTGCGTTTAGTTTTGCCAGCAGAACTGCATTTTAGAGGTTTAATTGGTTCTGGTTTAATTGTAAACAATGCAACGTGACTTACACAACAGAGACCAGCGTCCCTTTTTGTACTGGGTAGTCAACTGGCTGCGTGACTAACTGGATGCCATAGAATTAACAGAAGAAGGACTGTGTTCTAACATGGTTTGTGGAGTGAGACCAAATGTTCACCCTAGATATGGACTCAAATTATAAAAAAAACCTATAAGAACTTCTATTTTCCCCGGGGTTTTTTTCTAAGTATTAGTGGTAAAAAGATAAATTACAATTTCTTTCCAAATCAGTGAACATTCAGTCGATCTTGGCCCCAGATAACCATGGGAGAATACTGGATCTGCTAATTCCAGAAAAACAAACTAACAGTTCTCTCTGGGAGAAAAGGCAAACGCAGACACCTTATGTTAGTGACACAGCCAACCATTGTTACGTGGTTGCAAAGAAAAAGGAAAATAAGGATTCATTTGTTTACAGTTTGTTGTTAGACAACATCCTCTTCCTCCTCCTCCTCATCTTCCTTTGCAATGAAATGCAGCTTTCTGAATTCTCGCCTGCTCATCGCTGTCCTTGGAAATGCAACTGCTGGGAGATCCTTTAAGGAAAGGATATAATCGTTAAGGAAAGTCTGTTGTGGCAAATGGCAGACCTCCTACCTCTTCAACGCTCCACAGTGTGCATTCCAAAGAATTACAATAATCAGAATAAAGAACCAATGATCAGTGAAAAACTCTTCTGACAGAATAGCACTGTGTCTCCATGATACAGCTATGTATGTCTTCATGAGTAAAAAAAAAAAATCTATCTTACGTAATTGGACTAAATCTAAATAGGAAAGGTTTTGCAGCTGAAATTAACTTGGCTGGGCAATTAATTTCATCTCCAATTGAGACAATTCTATCTGGGGGACAGAGATAACGACTCCAGATGTCTACCAATATTGGTCAAGTTTGCCTACAGTTTTGAGGTTAGCCTAATTTTCTTTGAAGATGCCAGACTGGAGTGAGACAGAGCTGAGACTGTAAAATGTGAGCAGACTGTCATCATCTTACCTGTATAAACTCGACATCTCCAAAGAACCGGTCCACTGGCATTGGCTGGTTGCTGTCTTCATCCAAGAACGCACTATGGTCTAGTTGTGTCGGCTTCTTTGGGAGGTCTTTATCCTCCAAGCTGGAGCCATCTGAAAGCACACTCTCACAGCTGCTCTCTTCGTCACTGCAGACGTGACTCTGCAGGTTTTCATCACTGTCCATTTTTGATGGGGCACTGCTTGATGTCACTGCACACGGCTGGAGAGAAGCGGTGTGCTCCTTTTTCTGTTTGTCTTCATTAGTCTCTGAAATGCTTTCACCTTTTTCCTGTTGAATTATATTGCAGTCTCCTGGATCTTCTGAATGTTGATTCCCATCAGATGTTTTAGGTGTTTCCCCCAACGCAGCAAGGTTTCCACTTCCACATGTAAGTCCTTCTAGTTCTGATTTTACTAGACTGTTTTTTTCACATTTTAGCCTCTTCAGGGGTCGTCTGTCAGCCACTTTGTGTGAAGAAGACTGTTAGAAAAAAAAAGATAAGATCCTAAAGTTTACTTGAAATAAACAGCATCACCAGACCTCTTTAGTTGCAAGGCTGGATGTGGAACAAGGCGAACGGCACCTTGAGCCAGAGAAAAATAATTAGTAGAAAGTGCACACGAAAGGAAGAAAAGAGCAGATAGCTTACACAGAACCACAACACAAGAGTCCATCACCAGTGGAAGGCTACTTCTCAAAGCATAAACCAGCACCGTACGTGGCTAATCACCATTTTGGTATTTTCTTAAGGATGCTGTGGATGGTAATTAATGTAGCAGAATGAACGTGCCCCTGCCCTGCACGTCTGCACACAGACAGAGTGGTGGGGAGGGAGGAAAGGCAAAGAAATTCCTTAAATCCTCCGGGTAATTCCCTCATGGTGATGCTCAGTTCGCAGCTGTTAATAACGGCCCGCACCCC